TCCTCTTTTGCCATGATCTCTTCTGCTCCACTAGATCATTGTTTTCCACAGATAAAAAGCATATATATATTTTTTTCTTTCTGCTGAGAAAAAGTGAACTACAGGTACATTTGAAATTAAGGGCTTTATTTATTCATTTATAGGCTTAATGGAAAATTTTGACATCTTTCCTCTTACTGGGCAGTCTCTCTAACCACCTCTCTAGGGCTTGCCAGAAATGTATCACACACTACCAGCACTCAAAAGTCCGAGGAGAAGTCTGGAGCTGACTTTTGACTCATTTATCCCTCTCCTTCCCCCAGCTCACAGAACTCTACTTCCTTTTAAAACACCATTCACTAGTGTAGACCTTGTTTGATTTACTGTGAAAAATCTGCCAATTGGATCAAATCTGGTTTGCAAAATTAATGAAGGGCTGACCTGATTGTCTTGTGAAGATAATTCAGAGAGACATGCTAGCACTCCTGACCCTCCTGATGCACAACACAGACAAGGCCATTTCCTATCAACCTCTGTGCTTATGGAACTCTCCTCATTACCACCCCATACCCCGAATTTGGCTTCCTTCATAGCTAAGGTGAAAGTGTAAATTTTATTTTATTTTATTTTATTTTTTTTCCATGCTGGGATTTTGTTACAGCATTTGATGTGTGCAGCTGGCTGTGTGCTAAATCAGAGGATGCTGGATTTATGACTGCTTTCACCCTGGTCCCTGCCCTGTCAATATTGTGACATTGATTCACTTGGTTTTCATCATACAACAAATAAGAAAAGAACAGTCAAACCCTTTCTTCTAGTTCTGTTTTACCTCGCAAAAGGGGGAAAGTGAGGATCAAAGGATCACTCTTTGCTCCTGATGAAATAAAGCCTGATAATGAGGATGCTACTGCCTACTTAATGACCACAGACCTCAAAATATGCGAATAGGCTTCATGCATGCTGTACATAAGGGTAGCTTTCTCCTCGTGTCATTTCTGATACATAATACCAGCCCTGCCCTCCAGCGGCCCAGTAAAGCTACGCCTCAGTATTTTTGCTGCTGTCTGCAGCGATCTGCTTCAGGCAGGAGTGAGACATGCTGCAGGTGCTTGTGCTACAGCCATGAGCTCTTCCAGCCATGCAAGGACAGCCAGCAGAGAAGCAGGCAATAAACCCGTGCTGGCCATAGGAGGATTTCTGGAAAACTGTGGGGATGAAAACAATATCAGCTATGCCAGTATCAAATCTCTTTAAGTGCTATTTCCACCTTGAGAATCATTACTAGAGAGAATGGATGAAGATCCTGGATTTCTGGCTGGCTGAGGAGAGTGACAAAAAAAAAAATAATAGAATTATATATACATATATATATATATACACAGACTTTTAAAGGAAAAAATATATATATATACATTTAATATTTTTTTTCCCTTTACAAGGTATTTGAACCTTAATCTTTCTGTATAAGAACAGAGGGAAACCACCAGAATCCCAATGAGAAGTGCCAAGCAGGGACAAGGTTGTTCTGTGTTTCAGCCTTAGCAAAACAGATCCCCAGCTCCTCTATCTTGAGATCTAATGTTTCAGAGAAAAGGGGTTTTAAGGCAGCAATGCCACCTCTCAAAGCAATCAGAGATAATCTATTTTAGCTGAGTGACCAAGGGATGGAAAGAAGGATAAAAAAAATCAAACATTTTTCTCAGTAATTGCTGAAGACGGCTAAGGAATGTGCCTAAATGTGGCAGGATTCAAACATCTGCAGGAAAGCAATTGTTTTACTTCTCTGTAAAAGGCCTGAGGAAAAAGTGTGGGCTGCAGAAGTCATCTCTAAACCAGCTCTCCAAGCCACTGTGGTGCAGTCTTAGGAGAACAGTTACAGCACAGACCCAGCACAATTTTGTGCAAATGTAATTTGCAAGTGATAGCTGAGATGGGGTTGTAGGACAAATTCAGAAGTCTTGAGAGGATACAGAAACTGAGGCAGGACTGAGAAACTATTCAGTACTCCTTCTACTGCTTCAGTTAAGGAACTGTGCTGACATAAATGTGTTTAGTAATCATATTTCATCCCAAATTAACTTGATACCTACCAGGAAAAAAAAAAGTTCTACTATTCTGGCTCTGCTGTCAACCATTGCTGGTGTCTTGGGATACAGACCTGGGAATTCCAAAATTATATCCCAGTGAAGATCCCACCATTATAGTGTGCCCATCATGTGTGGAAGAAGAACAAAGACTGCAGGGATTTGAAGTGTGACAGTCTTAACTTTGGTAGTAGTGTCTGGATAGCACAACTGAAATTTTTCTGACATCACATTTTTTCTCAAGGGCTATTACTAGGCATCTTATGGCAAATGGCAGAATTCATGTACTAGGGCCAGCATGTGCCATCTGAAAATAAATACTCATGCATTTCACAAACCTGACTGGCATCAGTAACTTTTTGTGCTCAAGGATGTGTAGATAAAACAGATGCTTTGGTATAAGTTCAGTACACATTGCACCAGTATATTTTTCCACACCTGAACAATAATTAAAGCAGTCATTGTATTTGAATAGTAGGCATTTGTTAAGAACACAATCCAAAGGATTCTCCCTATAAGGAGTATAAACCATGACACAGAGCAGAAAATAACAACTCTTTGCTAATGGTACAGGGAGAAGCTTCCTCATTTCTTATCTAATAAAAATGTGTAGGAAACCTTAATAGATAATGTACTTGTTCCATGGTTAATATACTTTCATGATTTAGAAAGCTCAGTTTACATAGTGGGTGTTTATATAACTCATAAAACTACTTGCTGCTATCATACTGTGAAAACATCCGTTTTTAGAAAAATCACTACCTTTGTTCCTTTGGGCTGTAATGATTTGCAGTTTTTTGTATCACTTTCATCTCAGTAGAAGTCCCAAGAGCCAAAGGACATTTAAAAGTCCTGGGCACATCCACAGTATCCAAAGGGCTGGCAGCCTTTACTCCCGGGTTTCATTTCTGTGATAATTGAGTCATTGTTGCCTTGAGCAACACACTTAAGCCAACACTGGATGTTAAAACAACAGGCAACTACACATTTTCAACTTCCTGAGTGATTTCAGAGCTTTGAGCATGCATAGTTCTCATCAGTGGGCAATTATTATATTTATTTGTCTCATAGGTATACCATGCAATTGCAAGGCTCTAATAATTGTTAAACACTGAAGACTCAGATGAAAGACTTCATACACATTTAAATTACCATTAGAAGTAGAAATGTATTTTTTCTCCTACCTGATTTTTCCCCTTTCCTCTTCTCAAATTCACTCTTGATGAAACAAAACATATGCCAGGCATCCTTCTTACCAGAAAGTTTCAGTTCTGAGAGGCAAAGATGAGGTGAGTGAAAGGCAGCTGCAGGGTAGACATCTGCAGATCACTCATGCTGTATCCTCTTTGTAATCAGTGGAGACAAATTGGCATTGCAAGAAAACTACTCATCTCGTCCCAAAGGAGAACAACTCTGAACAGGTTCCTCTAGTCTGTTTTAGATCTTGCTGCAGGGATGAGTAGTGCAACACTTTGTTCTCTTTGTTGATTACAAAGAGAGTCTAGACAACAAACTCGGACAAAAGCCATTACACTGCAGAAGTCTACACCAAGCAGTGAACCCCACTGCATGTAACAGTCATTGTGATTGTGTTGCATGCCCAGTTCTGCTGTTCTGTCACCCCAAAGAATTGGGAACCTGTGGTAGCTCTTCCTGATCATCTCCACAATTATCCTCCATCATCATACAAATAAAAGTCTCTTTTGCTATTTAGAGGAACAAGAAGTACTGAGCTATAGTAGGAGTTTGTTTCTTCTTCAAGTTCATACATCATTGCATGCCTATAGATCTAGAAAGAACTACAAGTCTGCCTTCCACTGCCAAATTAAAAAAATAACAGTAATTATCATATGCTTTCTGTGTATGTCTTACAAAGATGAATTTCCTTCTGTGCCTGTTTACCTTATGGGTTACACAGAAGTACAGTATAGTGCTGTGGTCCTAGGCATGAACCTAGGGATAACACTTCTACATATGGAACAATAAAATCCCTGTACAGATGTTTTTCTGTTCACCCTATTTCTCTCTTAAATATTTCCCAGGGACAGCTGCTTAAAAATACGGGCTCTTGCATGTGAAAGTGCAACTTTAAACAGAATTCGAGGTTTCAAAACCTGTCTAGACATGGTAACATGCAGGTTAAGAAGATAAATTATTTTTTTTTTCCATCAAGAATCCTACCCTAGGGAAAAAAAAAATAAAAGAAAAAAAGAAATAAAAAGAAAACAGACACCTACAAAGTATGGTTTACATTGGGAATTAACTCACATTTTCAATAAAAATAAATAAATCAATCAAAATGCATTATTTTCTGGCCATGGTAACCTCACTTCATAAACCTTTAACTTATGAATGTGAGACGCCTCCATAAAGCCAGAACATGAGTTCACCAGTGTGGTTAGCCTAGATTTCCATAGGTATAACAAAGTAAACGACCATAATAATAAACACTTGGCTGTGTAGTTGGCAGTATTCAGAACTCCTTTAAAGACAGGGGCAGGGAGATGTAACAGGAGATCTGAAAGAGTGACGGTTTCCCTGAATCAACATTTTACTGTACCTGATCCCTTCCAGAATGCAGAAAAGAAAAATCAAATCCAGTATCTGGTATGAGAATTCTCTGCATCTCTAAATCCAGAGATCTTCCTAATACATGAATTACAGAATTAACATTCATGTCCTGTGAGCTAACAAAGCAAAAATGTCAGCAATATATTTAAAGGACACTGCTCATTGCTTTTATTTTATAAGTTAACTGATGCCCTCTAAAGACAAATATTAAGAAGAACTGCCCCCAAATCTACACAGTTTTAAGAACCTACAGACATGCTGCCACATTATAACTGTAATTATTATTTTAATTTTATGCCATTTTCTATAAAGAGTTTCCCAGCTCCAATAATAAAGTTTCTTTTAAAGAGAAATTGCAAGACAACATTCATGCAGGAAGCCCAGTATGTTTATTGGTTACTGATGTTTCATGCTGGCTCTTGTGAAGTTGATTGTGAGCTGACTGTTGGAACCAGCATGCATTGCTTTGGTGAGGACAGCAGGGTCATTTTCATTTGCTTTTATCTACAGAGAAGAAAAAGACAATATGATATAATCTTTCAAAAGAAAATCTCTGCTTTGCAATTTGTCACTCAGAGAGGTAATAATAGAGAAAGAGTGCTAGGAGCTAGAAAGAATGATTATTTCTCCCTCACTCTATTGCAGCTTTAGCCTTTAGTCCTCTCTATTACAAAAGCTTTCTCCCTTATGACAGAGGAAAACAAATAGCACGCTGCACTCTGTTGCTGCTACTGATGCTCTAGATGAATTTCCCTGTGAGGGAGCTTTAAAATAATAATACAATGAAATGTGGAAAAGCTAATTTCACCCTCCCAGCACTGCAGATTTGTTCCTGTCCTCATTAATTAAGAACAGACCAAGAACAGACCCATTTTATGTGAGGTGAGAACTGGAGCTTTACATCCATCTACTGGGAATTTATTTCTCAAGCTAGCTGATCTCACTGTTGGTATTTATATACACACAAAAATTCAGCCCGGATTTTGTCATGCTTACTGCCACTCACCATACCCCCGACCCATATAATCAACCCCCTTACTGTAGCAGAAGAATATTTCAGCTGCAGTTGACATACAGCAGTATCATGCCCCAGTTGTGCTTTCTGAAGGTCATACCTGTCTGTTTTATTTTTTCCTGAGGAATTTCTGCAGCTTGTAAACAGTTAAAGAGTGAGATGCTGTTGCCCAGCCCTTCTCACTAGCTGCTTTTTGCCACCCATGAGTTGCTCAGCACTGGTCCTTGCTAGGTTTTTCTACGAGACAGTTCAATTCACTATGCCAACAGAAATCTAACCCAGAAAAAGGAAGTTAATTGTTTTCTCTTGGGTTATCAAGTAAATCAACTCAGAGAAGGATCAACCAAGCACCCGGGTTTACAGATTTGAGGGAATGTCAATAACCAGGCTGTGCACTGTGGACACTGGTGAAGAGGGAGGGGGTGATGCTGGGTGTTACTGCACTGTTACCAGCTCTGAGCCTTATAGCAGCTCAGCCATCCATCAGATCACAGCTGGCTTTGACTGCAGCACCTCTACTGCATGAAGACAGATGTTGTCCTTGCAATACCAATCTCTCAGCTTACCCCAAACAGCTCAATTGATGGAGATTTATTGTCTGTAAGAAAGGAACACTAGAGAATATAATTTTTTACATCAAACTCTTTCTGGCTTTTCTGTAAAATTGTAAGCCTAAGGCTTGTACTTTTACTCCTGCTGCTTCAAAAAGGATGGCCTAACTGAGCTCAGCTTTTCTGTGGGCCTTCATACCCGTTTCTCAGTTTCACAGTTAAAATTCATTTGTGCTCTCAGTGGAAAGTTTTATATGGGGTTCCAGTTGGAAAGAGGCTTTCTATACCTGAGCTGCCACTCATTTTTATGAGAGGGCTCATTTCAGACAAGCCTGTCACATGTCAGAAGGCCTGCTGCACTTTTCTTGAAATTTCAGAGAAGCATTAAGTAGTTTTCACTAATCAAAATAGACAGTTACCTGCAAGAACCAAACCTTGGGAACACAGCTATTATTTTGGTGCGATGGGTGTAACTGAGACCAGACCTGTATATGGTGCTCTCTTAACAGGAACCGGCTGACAGACCTGCAATGAAGCATTTCAAACCTTTCAGTATTATATTGTCTTCTTGCAATTGCTAACTCTACACAATAAAAATAGCAATCCTGATATAACCCAGCTTTGAATGTTATGCTACCCAACGATTCCATCAAAATTTTCTTTTGAAAATGTTCCTTACACTCAAACTAAAATGTTCAGTTCTCAGCTTTCATCAGGAGGCAGGTGGTTCAGTCTGTTCATCACTGTAACAAAAGAACTCTAAAACCATTTTTCTAACAAGTAACAGACCATGTTTCACCTCATACTGTTGATGCTTCTGCCTCCCTTCATTCAAACACTTCTTGGAGCAGCAAAATCCCAGAGATTACACCACATAAATATATTAAAACAAAATAAAACAAAACAAAAACACTTATCTGCAGTATTTGCTTCTTTCCATATATATGTATATATATATATTAATTTGGCTACTCATCAGGGTATCCCAGGGGGAAGAGGTACAGAGCAAGCTCTCCAGAATAGCTGACTCACTGCCCATTCACACTCTAAGCCTGTTCTTCATTAAGGTAATCATATTTCCCAGTGATGCTCTTAGTACAGATAAGAGAGTTAAATGAACATCAATGAAACAAAGCCACTCCTATCTTCCATCCACCATCCCAGCTGCTGACTACAGGAGGTTGAGCTGGTTGAAAAGTCACTTCTGAAAACATTTTGCACTTGATGTTTTGGTTATGGAAAAATTCTCCCTAGCTTTTATCAGAAATAGAAATGACAACATTCACTGAAGTCTTTTAGAATTCTATGATTGCCAAACTCATCTTAAATTTTAGTTTAGTTTTGGTACTAATCTTCTTGCATGGGATATGATGCCTCAGCAGAGATGCCAGGGTCTGGAGTCACAACTTAGCTATGCTTGGGGAAGAACCTAATTATCATTTAAGAACTGCATCATTTTCTCTTACATGAAAAGGAATGTCCTAACTTTTTGCTGATGTAATGCCAGTACAAATCTGGTTTCAATAGCTAGCTTCTGTTACCATTACATGGCATTTATTTTGCATTTAAAGTTAAAGGGACCAACATTGCACAACAAAGAAAGTGCAATAATAATAAGCAGCCCTCATCAACAAAGTACCAAACATTTTTAATGTCTGGTGGATTAAACAGATTCACAGTCACATTGAACTTTGTGTATGACAGATCCCACTGAAGACAGACCCAACGGGTGAGAGGAATATAACAACAAGAATCTATCCAGATTAAAAATGCAGAATAATTCTACTGTAGATGAGGAGTTCTCACTGTTTAGCTTGTGATAATCTTATATGAAGCTGGCCATGGAATTGTATGGCCTTTGGAGCAATTGTTTCAATTCAACCAAATGTCTCATGGAAAGGGAAGATCTTTTCTCCAGAAAAATTCACAGTTTGGGGTACTGGTTCACTCATGCAGTAGGCCTGGAAAGTCCAGGATTTTCTTTCCCTTTCATTTCTCCCACAAACATGAACCTTCATTCACACTGAAAAGGTGTGACAGATTTAAATGAGAAATTTGGTTTCAAAATAAAAGTTAATGTATAATCAATATAGTCAGATGCTGACCAAATGCAAGTGAAAATGCCTCCAATTTATCTAACTTACACTGATTAGTACTGGTACAAAAATGTATTCTTTTATGCTTGGAAAGCCCAAATATTCAATCATCTGTTTTCTGTTCTAAGTTCCCAGGGAAAAACTGCATGCTCATGAACAGACTTCCCTGCCTATCCACTGAAGAGCATTATGCCTATCGTCTTGCAGACAGCCCCCACCAGCTACTGGGAAAGTGCTGTCTTTGGAGGAAAGCCTCAGCCATTTCGACATGTCTTTTGTAGTCCAACAAGACAACAAAGGGATGTAATGCACAGTATTATCTTAGAAGTATCTTAAAGAGCCAGATCTCACATGAATGCTTGTCTAATTCAACTTTTAGATCCTGCAGTGAATTCTACTGATTCAAGTTGTGACTTTCAGATTTTGTCTGTGTGCTTTGGAAAATCCTACCCATAATAAGCAACAATAAGGCCTCAAAAATATTATTCGCATGGCAAATAGGCACTGGAAATTCAATCTGCATGTCTTTTGCAAAATTTCTCTTCAAAAAGAGATTGAACAGCAAACTTGGTCCAGCACTTTGCACGTGTTCAGCTTTTAACACATTGTTGCTGGAACACAGCCAAATGTTCAGCATTCTACAGGGTTTAGCTCTAAATATCTGCCCCATGGAAGAGTTAGAAAACTATTGATCTCTTCCTCCAGTTTAAGTTTTATCCCTGAGCATGATGCTGAGCCTCTCTGATTTGCAGTGAAATCAGTGATTAAATCTAGCAGGTAGTCAGATTACCCATGAGCAAAATATTTTGTCCAATGTTATTGCAAGTGGGACTTATTTTTAAAAGTACCCAGACTTTGTCTACAAGCTGTACCAGATACCCTGAGAGCAGGAACTAGTCTATGATATTTCTCTGTAATATGAAGAGCAATAAAAATTGAGTCCCCTTAGTTTCATTTCCTCCCACCTTGGCAGATTTTGATTAGTAAGGGAAATTACCATTGAATCCCCAAACCTCTGTTCCCAAGAGCTAGTTATCCTCATGTTCTAGAAAGCATTACAGAGATTTATTAGTTTAATTAACCTTCTCCCGCTGCCTGACTCGTTTGTAGACATATGGAGAGAATGGTGGACGGGAGACGTATTTGCCTTCTCCTGCTGTGACTTTGACAACTCCGCCTTCATAAACCACTTTGCCTCTTGAAACTGTCGCAACACAGACTCCATGGCAGACCATTCCTTCAAATATATTGAAGTCATTGGCCTGGTGATGAGTCTTTGCAGATATTGTCCTGTGTTTACAAAAAAACAAAACAAAAAACAAAAAACAAAAAGGAAATTACTACAATCTTCACATTGTACTTCATTATGAAATTTTAAGAAATTGATAGAGGAAGAAAATTTAGCAGCATTATTAAACTATGACATTGTAGAGTACATCATGGAACAGCTGTAAAAATAGAATAGAGCATTAACATTTCATTGAACAGTAATTGCATTTCAAAAGAATGAAGAGAGAGTCAAAAGGACAGAACTTTGTAGCCTTGAAACAAAAATTTTTCACTACAAAAAGACTAGCAAAAAAAAAAAAATAATCAGGTTATAATATTTATTTGAATAAAATGATTTTTTTCTGCCTTGTCAAGCAAATATCTATGTACAATAAGCCCAGAAAAATCTCTAACCCTTTAGCTAGAGTTACCTGCAATTTCAAGTTTGGAAAGCATGGTTGCAGTGTTTCAAAGATTGTAACTCATAAACAAGACAAAGAGTATTTCACTGGAAAGTTGATAGATTGTAATGAATTTTGGTAACTTTTAAAGTGAGTTGGACTGATCCAGTGACTGAGAGCCCAAATATCTCTATGCTGTCAAATAATAATGACAACATCACACTCCTCCATACTTTCCAAGAGTACTAGGGAAATTATAGTTTTAGACCTCAACAGTATTAATTTGAGCTATGGTATCATTTCTTTGTTTATGCATAGATCTCATTCTTTATGTTCACCATTTTTCTGGCAAATTTCTCCAACCCTAACTGGCTACATTACAGGCAATTAATACTAGAACTGACATTAGCATTTGGAAGTGCAGACTGCATATACTTCCTTTACTATTTTCCCTACTGAGCTACTTACTATGTACTGTATCTAAAATGTGTATCTAAATTTAATTAATTTCATTAGCTTCCTATTTCTAATTTATTTATTTATTTTAATTTGGAAAGTTTGTATTTCTATTTCTATCTGTAACTTCTGAAAGGAAGGATTTTTTTTTTTTTTTTATTTTTTTTTTTTGTGAGCAGTCAGTATTTTCCAGAATAGGAATATATGCACATGGTAAAAAAACTATCATTAATGTATAGTGCTAACATTATTCCAGTGATTACATCTTTAGAAAAAGAAATTTCAAAGTAAAAACTAATATGAATTTTGATCTATTTTGATCTATTTTTTGATCTATATTGATCTATTGGATAATAAAATATTGATCTATTTGGATAAGAATTATTAAAAACTTTAATTAACATCTTTATTAAAATGAAAAAAAAAAAAAAAAAACAGCAAAATCTTTATCTTTCTTGAAGTACACCATTTTCAAAGGTAATCAAGTATCAAATATTTCAAGTGATTAGTTATAATTATTGGAAAGATATATATTTTGCCTTTCATATCATTACGTTAAACTAAGGCAAATTTAAATTTAAGTTAAGTACATTTAAATCTCATTGGCAACTAACTTCAAATGCTGTATATCTAAAAATGTTCTCTATGGCCAATCTGCCCATAGGAATAAAAACTTCTCTTTTCAGAACAACTTGGACAGAAAACTTATGCCTGCCTGCTCTCCAGTATCAGCAACGTCTTGTAGAGTCACAGTGGAAAGAGTGAGCAAGGGAAGTCAGACCTCTCTTGTATTCACTAGTCCTATGAATACTGTTGAACAAGTTTATCCATGGGTGTTATAATAGCTCTGCAAAGAGCTGGTGAACATATTTCTCCAGCTTATTGCATTACACTTATGGGTCCAATTGCTAGAACAGTAAGTAAGAACAACTGTAATATAATTAACTTGAGCATTCTCTGGGTATACATCATATCTATTTGCACACAAGCACTGGGATGCAAAAAGGAAAATGGAAAAAGTACTTTGAGCAAATGTATAGAAAAATAAGCAAGATTCTTCAGCTCAACACGTGAGCTGTTTAAATGTGCTATAGTAGGATCACTGGTGGTAAACATGCCTCAGAGGTAAGTATATCCTTCACAAAAACATACAAAACTAATGGAAGCTAATGCATTTAAAAGAGACATCCATATTTACAGGTAAGCCCTGCAATATGATAAAAGAGATTTCCCATTGCTTGTCTCAACAACCAACTTGTATAGAACCCATCTATAACTCTTCTGTTGAACAAAGGCTTAGATCTTGCTGCTCTTTCTGAAGGTGAAGTGCAGTCTCCCTGATGAAGCTCACCAAAACTAATCTGCATTTGGGTTTTTAGCAATTTTATTTAACATTATCAATGGCAGGGAAAGTATCAACAAGGAAGTGAGAATTAAAAGAATTAAAACAAAGACAGTATGCTTGGGTCTGGAGCTCACAACTCAACAACCTTATGCCACACACTGTTTACTGCTCTATCAGCCATTTCAGTAACAGGCAGCTTGCTGGGAAGCTTAGTGAAAGTCCAGTGTTTGCTCTGAAAGTTTGAATACTATTGACCCTCAACTAATGGCAAGAATGCTAGCAACTATTTATAATCTGGGAAAGTAAGACTGACACCATAGTGAGGCAGAACATAAGAGTTGCCTCTAACATCCTAAGCGATGTCTGACATAATGGGTTACTTAACATGAGAAAGCAGATTCTGACTCCAGGTTTCAAAAACCCGAATGACATTTTTTTTGATATATTTCCTAAAATCCTCTGATTCTCATGATAAACTACAGAGACTCTTGTTCCAAACAGCCCTTCCTCAAATGGAAACAGATCAGAATGATAACTTGAATATTTGAAAGAAAATTCTATATGAGGAGGATATTGCAGAGACATCAGGCTCTGTTTTGTTCCTACTTATCTCAGTGTTTTCATTTAATTCACTTCAGCTGCTTTTGATACACCTGTCTGGCAAAGAGATTTCAGACTATCAATAAAAAAATTGATATTACCCTAGTACAAAAGAAGACATGCTTCTGAGATTGTCCTTTTTTTTTTTTCTTTCTTTTTTTTTTTTTTTTAAATCCAGTGCTTCTGTCCAACTATTTAACTATTTGCAGGCAAGAAGCAATTATTTTATAGTCAAAGATCAATTATCAAATTTTGTGTGCGTGATAATTCAGTGACTGGTAATCTTGCATTTATTTATTCTGTATGTGACAAAAGACTTTACAGCCAATCCTAGGATATTATATCTAAATAAACTACAAACTGACGTTTAAAATTTAGAAAAGAGCATCATATTAGACTAATGCAGAAAGCTGTAGGGTGAAATTCAAGGCAGTACAACTGGTCAGCTCAAAAGATAGGCCCTTGGTAAGCCCTGAATCTTTGTAAAGAGTTAGGGGTATTAGATTACATTTCAAGTCAAACACAACCTAGGAGCACCACAAACATGTCTATGCCCCAGTCAGAGACTGAAATACTATGCAGTAAGTCATAGTCAGGCAAGAGGGGCAACTGGATGAAGGGAAGAAATCTTAACATTACAAGTTATCTTCTGTCCCTCATAATGCATAGGAAATGAAGCTAAATCAGCCCAGTGAAGGTGGAGCTGTCAGACTAGATTGAGCTCTAGGACCTAAACTTTGATTGCTGTGAGGATTCGATGACTGTAGTTTTCAAGAGGGGCATATGAAATTGAGAACTTAATTACTTTTAATGGGAATTGGACGCATACTTCACGCAGTTTTCTTTAAAAATTCCAGGCACAGGAATATGAAGGGATCCTGTAGTCAACAGCCCTTAGGCAAGAATAGCTGTTGAACATCTCAGTAGAGGGAGGACACAGATTTTATAATTACTTAATTAAGTGAAAACATAGGAATAAAGGCAGTTAAAATGACCTGAGTCCATTGCTGAAAACAACTGCTTTGCAGACAGTTGCTATAGAAAACCAACTTATGTAAGAGTGAGAATTTCAGATGTAAGCAACTTCTCCAAGTGCTTACAATGCAGTATCTCTAAGTTTTTCAGAGCTGGGGGCAGGTGAGAAAAGCCAGTTTGCTGAGGTTAATATCAGCCTTTGTGAGCTGCCCCTTCTTCCTTTCGTCTGCCTTTGCATTCTCCATTATTGTTAACCTGCTTTTCTAAACTCTAGACAAAAATAAATCTCTGGTTCACCTTCCTGTGCTGTCCTGAGACACCACTCATTTATAAAGATAATTAAGTTGGACTTTGTTAAAGAGACAGAAGTATTAAAAAGAAAAGGGAATGAGAGGAATAAAGAGAAGAAAAAGAAGAAACAGAAAACCTGAAAATCTATGTGCAAACTGCTTGTTAAAAGCCTGTGATGTGGATTAAAAAGCCCACGGCCTACTTTATAATTAATGAATTGTTATAATTGCACATACCAACTTATGTAGGCAACTATTAGTAAAGTGGTATCCCTAACCTCTTAAAAATATGCTTAAATAAGCATTGTCTTTGAGTAGCTATCTGAAGTGAGGGGATTTGTGGACAAAATAACAGTTAGAAGAAGAGGCAGGATGTTAATATCCAGGAGCTCCTTGTCAGAGAGACATATCTGAGGGATAGGATCTTTAATGCATTCATATCTCCTAAGATACATCATGTTAAGATGGGCAGAGAATGACAACAGAATGATTTTTCTGATTATGGTAAGCAACTCATTTATCAACAATACCATCAGTTTGTTCCTATCAATCACTACAAGTTGATATGGGATGGAAGTGGAAACTGTCAAACTATATAAAGGGCAGGAGGGAAAACAGTAATGAGAAAGTAAGCTTGTAGGAAAGGATAGAGAGGAAAATACAAATGAGTATTCAATGACTAAAGAAGATCTGGAAATAATCATAGGGGAGAAAAAGGTAAGCTTATATAAGGAGAAAATAAGAAAGAATCTTTGTTTTTTCCTTTTTTTTTCTTTCTTTTTTTTTTTTTCTTGTTGGTAACATTTCTAAGACTCAGTTCTCTAAAGAGAGCAGCTGACATTTTGTGAGACAGCAAGTTACTAGGGAAACGTACATCATGCTCTCTCATAGAGACTTATTTTGTTACAGTTCACAGAACCACAGAGGCACTGAAATTGGAAAGCATCTCTGGAGATCATCTATTCCAACCTCCTGCTCTGGCCAGGGTCTGGCACAGCAGGGGTGTGCCCAGGCAGGATGCAAATACTTCCAAGGATGGAGACTCCACCATCTCTTTTGGCAACCTTTTCCAGTGTCTGATCACACTCACAGGAAAAAAAAATATATCTTTCTTATGTTTAAATGGATTTTCCTGTATTTTAGTTTGTGCCTATTGTTTCTTCATGTTCCTTAGATCTGAAATAACAGGTTTTTGACAGGAACTCCATGATTTTAGTGAAATAGCATATATTCATGCATACACAGGCTTGTATTTGTGCAAAAGAAGAGCTACTGAAAATGCCAGAACTTAGTAGTCCTATGCACACATATTTGTATGCCGCATTATTTCATTTTCCCTAATTGAGTCTAGATGCAGTTATCCATATACTCAGTATTCAATATCATGCTCATTCATCAAAAGAGTAAGACAGTCACAGCATTATTCATTCTAATCATCTGCTAACAACATTTTTTTTTTTCCTCTTGCTTTGTATGAAAAATTACAGGCAGTTGCTTGGCATAGAGTCTTTAAATGTTGTAACTTGTCACCACTTAAGCTTCTGAGTCTGAAGACCTGATTGTAAATGAGACAAGAGGGCCCAAGAGGGTCACTCCAGAGGAGCCAAAAGAGGATGAGGTGAGAGACTGCTACCTGCATAGGCAACTCTGCCTTGACATTCAAAGGTAGCTTAATTTTTAGGCTATACTTGGTAAATGGAAAATAAATGGTAAATAGGACTTCTAAGACAGCATATTTTTATAAAGAATTGGCATGATAATTTAACTGGACTTAGACAGTTAAATCCCGTTTGAGATTTTTTTTTCTATGCCTGTGGATGTTTTCAAATTTTGTTCTGATTCTACCTTCAGGGCTTTATCCACAGCTTATTTGCAAGGCTCTGGACAGGCTACAGTGAGTCTATTGAGTCCTAATAACAGCCAGGAGCTGAACGTCTCTTCTGAGATGTTTAGTGCCTTCTGTTCCTACTTTACATGGGATGTTCAGCTCTTTCCACAGTATGAATTGGGCACTACAGCATTTAGATTCCTTGCTGAGCATTTCTGAAACAAACCCTAAAGATTTTGTATTCTTACTTGATTTCAAATAGCCAAAGATATCAGCTATAGAGGACACTGACTTGCTGATATATTTTTCCAAGGAGTTCTCACAAAACAGTCCTGTGTGCACAGGCTGTACTTGGGATGCTGAGAGTATTGAGGTCTGCAAGGTGATGTTTAGTAACACATGGATGCAAAATAACAACTGGTCTCTTCAGAATGTGTGTTCTTAAATAAATATGCAATGACTATAAGGAAGCTGAGAAATACACCTAACCTCTCAGAACACATAACCCATCTTTTATAATGCAGTTTCTAATGAATTTATACATTTGAAGTGTTTCTTTCCATCCAACACTTCTTGCATTCATGTGGACATCCTAAAACCAGTATTTGGAAGCCCTGAAATACACTAGTAATTTTTCATGCAATTGTTCATACATTATTTTCTGCGAAAATTACCAGCAAAGCCTACAGAAATAGGCCAGTCAGTGAAGATAAGCTATATAAATAAAACCTCAGCAAAAGCAGCAGAATGCTGGAATTGGAACCTTGAATAGCAACTGCTCCCAAATTGCAGGGCTGAATTCACTAGGCTTTTGCCATGTTGAAAGGGAACACCCTGAATGCTCAGACAGTACCCATCATGTTTTAATTGTGCAATGATGTTGAAGGAGAAATGCAACTGATTTTGCAGTGATTCAAGTTTTTGCATTTTGAAGAGCTTCACTATCTTACAGAATGACTTTAGAATCTTCCCTATAGACTTTCTCTGCCAGACTGTGGTAATATCAGTTCTACACAAAAATACTTCAGCAATTGCCTAATTCTTTAAGCTACTATCAGCCAGCATTTTAAGACTGCAGCAACAGAGCCTCAAGCCAGAACTAGAAAACTACATTATCCTCTCTTAGAAGATTTAGATTTACAAACAAGAAAAATAGTCATGCTCAAAACAGGAAGGAGTTTGCAAGACAGATGAACAAGCCTATCATGATATCGAAAATTACTACCCAGATGCAACAACAGCATACAAGGCTGCACTTTGTGTAGTATCTTAAATGGTTGAAGTCTGTTAGCTAGATCTGTTTTTTCTGCTGGACTGTTTGTGCCCTCTTCAGGATTTATAGTGAAATGAATAGACAAGGACTTGATTTATTTATACTTACTCATATAGTTCACACAATTGTACCTGAACAGTAGCTTGTTCCCAGCAAAGCCAAAGGGATAAACAATGGGAACAGTACCAGATCAGGAGGAGGAAAAAAAGTATCAGTTCAACTTAAAATCAGCTTGCTCAGTAAGAAAATACAGTTTATTCTGAAAAAATATTTAAAGAAAAACTGCATCTTCACAGCTGCAGTGGGCAAAAGGCCATGGTAGTACTCAGGAGAAAGTGAAGGGAGGCAGAAGGAATGCCTGGGAGGGAAAAGGATAAAGAATTTTAAGAGCTGACAAAGCACCTTGAGAATAATGTCAGAACTCTGCTATCCTACTAGTTTCATTTGTCCTCAGGCAGAGCAGAAGTGAGTTCAGAAAAAAATCCTTGTTTTTTTTTTTTTTTTTTTTTTTTTTTTTTTTTTTTTTTTTAATCTGAGTTCATAGCTCCACTGTCCTGAAATAGCTCATTGCTAGTATCTCAAAATATGCTTGCTCAACATGCCAGAAGGCATAATACACATGAACCATTCAATACCCAGCAGCAAAATCTCTCTGACCCAGCACTAGGCAGGCCTCTGTGTTGATTGGGGTTGACAATCCTGAAACTTCTTTTGCTGGTATTGTCTTTTTTTTTTTTTTTTTTTTTTTTTTGTGATACTTCTGCAAAGCAAGTTCTATGTCCTCAAGCTTTGATGCTTAAAACACAGGATGCTTTTTCCTGTCACTTTACATGCTTTTGCTACTCATGAGCATGCTGAAAAGAGTGAAAATTTCATTATGAAAAATTCAAGATCTAGCAGATTGGTGAGGAAAATTTCATTTGTGTAAGGTAAATCTAGGATAAGGGCTTTTTATCTCCATTTGGTTTCTGAGCCTCAGATTTGCCCAGTTATGTTTCCAAACTTTCCTCTACCATCAGAGGAGTCTTCAATTCTCTTTTAAAATCAAAGGCTGAAAATCTAGTGCCATCTATGTGTTACAACAGCTCAAGTTTTAGGAACACCAAACACTGTGATATCTCAGTGAAAGCTGGCTATGCTGTCTTCATGCTCAGCACCCCACAAAGTGTTGAGCTTTGCGATTTGTGATTGCTTTCTTATATGGATTGTACCCACTGTTTAGATGACACCAGTGAGGTAATTTCAACTGGCAGACTCAGTGTGTGCCTTCAGAGCAGTCGTATGCTCACAATGCTTGCTAGAACTAAGTCTGAGACCAAAGCACCAGCCTGGCACACCTCCTGACCTGCTGCTGGCAAGTGCAGGGCTGACTGTGGTCAGAGGTTGGACACAGCTGTTTAATGCCTGCAGATTTAAGGTGATCTACTTGGAGGTCAAACAGTGGACGTGTACATGCCATAGGTATCTCAGCTGATAAAAGCACCTTCCCCAGTGAGTGTTCTCTGTGACAGCCTGCTCTCAAACCATTTCCGTGCAGTTTACACAAGACCAGGATAGCTATAAGAGCCAGAGAAATACCCAAGAGAGATTCCTGAGATATTTATAGTGGCCTGATTATGGATCTGGCTGATGGTGTGAATATACCTGAAGACAGGAATCAGCTGTAGTACACTGTGTGCTGTATGAGTTGAGGCTCACAAAAAGACAGTGCATGTCCTTTGTAGCATAAATATACCACGGCATCAGGTCACGTAGAGTGAGAGATCAGCATAACTTTTGTGCACTTGTTGTTGGTGTGACAAGCTCTACTCTAGGCTGTGCACAAATCCAGAAAACTCCTTAAATAAAAGTGTAAGCAAGTACAGCTTCAGACCTAAGCTCACTCATGGCTCACTCTACTAGGAAGAAACGTCAGAAGGTCAGGACCCCACACTTTCACCAGCCATACTGACTACCTTTGAATATGTTTGAAGTAGCTCTAAGCTCAAAATGCAAGATTGTAATGGGTCACTCTTCAGGAACGCATGCTCCTCTCCTTGCTTTTTGCAGTGGAAGGAAGCTGAACATACTCAAACACTTAACAGAGTTACTCTAAGATCCTAAAGTGGCTATTTTTACTGTTAGGATACCAAGCACTGGTAGTATAATGTATGGATCTTGCTATTTTTGCACTTCGTGAGCAATTCAGGTGATTTATTTATTTATTTTTAAATCCATCTAGAGGTCAAGGATCTCTACTTACATGCACTATTGTAGGAGCCAAATAAATAACCTGTAAATAATTCACATCAAATGCTGTTGAAAAACACCATAAGCTCTCCCTAAAGGCTTATTGCTATACAAATGCTTTGAGATATTGTTTCCTACAGAGGGGTTGGATGGAAGGAAACAACTACGCATACATACCTGGTAGCTTTGGGATCCCAAATTACGATGTCAGCATCAGAACCCACAGCAATTCTCCCCTTCTTTGGGTAAAGGTTAAAGATTTTTGCTGCATTTGTGCTGGTAACAGCTACAAATTTGTTTTCATCCATTTTTCCACTGTGCTGAAGAAGAGTACACAGAAGTAAACTCATTACTTTTTAGAATAAGGGAAGAAAAAATGCTTTTATTGTTGAAAAAGCTGGGATGAGTGACAGCTTTCTGCCAAAATCACATCACATCAATTTATTAAAGAGATTAAAAGAAAAATATCTGTCTCTGATGCACCTTCTGCAATGTACTTTCACTGAATACTAACTTTATGCTAGTTTACCTCATAACAAAAGGGGAAAAAAAGACAACATTACAGCTGTGGATATAGTTAAAAGTCAACTAGAATTGAATTTATTTAGCTGGCTTTTACTCTGTAGTCCTGTTCAGCAGTTTCCTCAGGAGACATAACATTTCATGAATATCGTGGTTTTGGAAAATGGTGATACAGTATTAAAGAAATGCAGACATCAGACTGACTAATAATGTGGATGTGAAAACTTGGAAGGGAGAGGCAAGACATGGTGTGTAATATAGAAAAGGAGATTTGCAAATCCTCTGCAGCAATAATGCAGAGGGTAGTTCTCTTCAGTAAATATTTGAGATTGAGAAGTACAAAAGACAGAGTGAGACACATCACCAAAATGGCAAACAAGAATGGATACACGTGTTTCAAGACTGGTCACTGCTACATAACTACCTCATCTGTGACTGTTGTTTGCTTAGAAAGCCAGCTACATTGGCAGTAATGGTGTGTATAGGCCAGTATAGGAATTTGAATGTCATAAAACCATGTTTGCATGGTTGCCTGTGAGCAGTCTTTGGAGAAGAAAAACATAAAGAAGCTGGTGAACATCATTATTCTAAATAACAGTGAGTGGGAAGGGAGGGAATCTTTCCAGACAAATTCTCACAGCTGTATAGTATTTTACAAATAAGAAAATGGAGGATATTACTGACTGAAGAATCCTTTGAAAAAATTACCTTGCCCAACAGGACAAACTGTTCAAAAGTAGCACTGATGTACATATTTAAGTCTTACGTTCACACTAACCACAGATCAGATTAAATTACAGTTTACACCACAAAAAAAAAAATATCTCACTAGAGATATGCCAAAGGTGAAGGCAGGCAGATGTCATCTTTGTACACACAAATTGGAGATGAATTCTAAATAGAGATAAATAAGAGAGATTCTGAAACATGTCCTTACCAACGGTGTAAGGTAGATAATTTTACTATGACAAGTAAATATACTTTGTAGTGCATAACTAGAATACTTCCCTGCTGTGAGAGAACTTAATTAAAAAAGTTTAACAGGAGTCTCCAGAACTTGAGGGTATTGTGTCAGCCAGAGCAATCATAACACCCAGTACATGGCAGATCCCTCATCAGATTAGCCCACGTCCTCCCCCACCAGACTACCCCATATCCAAAAATCCTGGCCACTGGCCTTCATATTTATATTTGTTTAGAGGTTAAAGGATATTGTCCTGGGAAGCACTGAGCATTCTCACGATGGCACTGAAATTTTGAAGTCACTAGAACTTGAAGGTGCTCATCTCATCACACCACACGACTGAGACATAAATAAGAGAAACATTTCATATCTCTAGCTTGTTTCCTCTGCTTGAAAACACAAAATAGAAGTTGTCAGGCAGACACCCACTGTGGAAACTTCTCCAGCCGCTGTGCTTTAACACTGAAACAACAGCAGTCCTTCGCTGGTAAACAACAGAAATGATTCTCACATGCTATTTGTTAAGCAGCAAGAATCTTTTTCCATCTCCCAGGACCATAAAGCGTGAGTGAGGACCCTGTTATGGTCTCTGATCAAGGAGTTACCCTGTAATAAATACATTTGATAAAACTAAAGAGCTGATTCTGCTGAAAGACTATATTTTGTTGGAGATACAAATTACCTCCTTGTTCAGATATCTTGATATACTTACAACGCCTTTTTCCCATACGACTGACATCCTATCTTCCACGCCATTCACTCCATTAGGGATTTTAGTGAAATCATCCTTTCCCAGAGCTTTCTGGCATATGTCAAAAGTGCAATTGTCAGTCGCTGTCACAGACAGGTCAGCACTACGGAGAAACAAAGTACATTAGGAACTGGATCATGTACCAGACAGTGCCACACAGGAAAATCCGTTGAGTAGATCCAGTTTTTCTGCAAAGAAAAACTGTTAATACCCTGTAAGCCAGTCTTCTGTTCCAACCTCTAAGACTAGTTTAACAGTGACAGCCAGTTTCTCTTCAGAAAGCCTGCAGAAGGCAATAAGCACCAAAACCACACTTAATTTGGATGTGTCAAAGGTGTCCCACAAATGCAGAACTGTCCCACTTCGCCCAGAGCAAAAGATTCAATGTCATCCTCCCTTAGAGCAATTTTGGATTGTGTCACTCCCTGTGAAGTTAACCCAGACTTGTACTACCACCAGTCAAACTGTGTTCAGGCATATATTCAAAGACTCTTAGGTCAAATTCAGCTCTTCTGTGGAGTTAGGGTTTATTGGTAAGTAAAATACCAGCAAAACACATTTCATTAACTGCTGATATCAGAAGGACACTTCTGTTCATAATTCCTTTTGAAGCAGATAGTATGAAGTGGACAAGATATATCTGCCTTCAGAAGACAGAGGGCTTAGTTTCTATGTAGCATCCAAATTTCATGTGAAAAACGGAGTTGACAACAAAAAACAGAACCTCTAGCTGTGACCACTTTTTACAAATTTCCCACCAACATACAGCCTTACTGTTCCCCTGGTTATTTTTCAATTTTTGCTGCAGAACTAGCAAGGCAAGGCTTATTGATTAAAATCATGTGGGGAAAGAAAGCCACAAGAGTTCAGAGAAACTAAATCTGAACAGTTTCTAATTTCTGTAACAAAAATGTTTTTATCTGTTGTTTCACCTTCCATTTCTCCTTCCTGATAATACAACATTCTGTACTTAGAAAATCTCCAGGGCATCAACCTGCTATTATACACTTAGAAAAAAATTGCTGAGTATTTGGGCATCAGCTGTCACTGTTTGTTCATCTGCTTACTTGGCCAGTAAGTTCATGAGGAAATCAGGAGTAGAAGGATCTGGTCTTAGTGGCGGACCCATTACATGTGCTGCAGCATGAGCCCAGTCTTTATTCCAGTAGTTGGTACCATCGGTGCCAAGACAAGCAGCAATAGTCTCCCCATAAACCACCTTTCCTGAAAAATGCAAAGGAATAGTATCATCATCAAGTAACATAAAAATGCATACCTTGTATTTTTCCCATTTCAGATCTTTTTGGTTGTAATGGGTTTGAATTTAAACGACTGTTTCAAATTAAACACCAACATATGGAGGGACATAATAAACTAAGCTATAACACAGCATCTCTGTTCTGAATATTCTGCTGGTGATTTCCCAATATATTTTCTCATAAGAGCATTGCTTTGGCAAGCTTTTTAATTAAATTGTTGACAGATATATTATAATGCGGTTTACACATTGTTTACTAGGTGTGTGATTGAAATTTCAAAAGGAACATAGTCCTCAGTTGCACCAATTACATTCAAGATCCATATATTTCTTGGTAGCACCTGTTTGATGTTCTGAAATTATTGATGATGTAACAATGTGAGTCAATATATACAGCAAACAGACTTTTATAACTGTCAGGCTATAATTGCAGGCATGCTAACCAGGAAAAAAATGTGGCACCAGACATAAATCTAGAGTGTAAAAACATTTCCAAAATAAAAAAAAATAATATATATATATATATATATATATATATATAAATACTTCAATTTTACAAGTTATTTCCTGAACTTTAATTCCACGTGGCACAGTACTCTAGATTTCTCAGAAGAGGACCCCAGTCAAAACCAACTGCTAGCTTTTGGATAGAGCTAGTTCTATATGCGGGAGAAGATAGTGCCAACTGACCATGATGGTCTCCAAAGAACCAGAGCAAGCTAGGACCTCACACACCCATGCATAGGCTGCTTGGTGCTTATTAAAGGCAGTCTCTGCTGGATTCTAGCAGGAGCTTTCTCCTGCCCCCGCTCTCTGCAAACAGTGCATCTTACGATGGATCTCAGATTTCACTCTAGTGATCACATACCATTTTTATTAAAATTATTACATTACCCCAACTGGTCATTGCTTGGTACTACTAGACAGCGTTTTTTTTTTCTGTCTGAGTGTAAGTTAGGTATTCACCTGTACTGTTGGAAAACAACAAAGCAAACCATTGCAGATTCTTGCTGTGCATTAGGTTCTGGTATTTCTGTGAGCAGCTACACTTGCATAGGTAGTTTCTGAGGAGCTCAGCTCTTGTAAAAATATTTCCCAGTGTGATACTATCATTTCTTAAATCTTCTGTGCTAGACTTGCAAGAAGGCCTCATACCCATTTCTGAAGACTATATTAAATTCTATAGTTCTACTGTTATTTCTCCAAGGTTTCAAGACCTGCTCTGACATTACCATACATTGCATTTACTCCAAGTAGTAGATAGTACAACTTCTACCACAACCTAGGGACTCTCTATTAGCATTATTAATTTGCTCTAACACTCTCAGCATGCTCTGACATACTGAACCGATGTACCTGTGCTGATGCCTTGGCTTGGGGCATTTTAAGCTTCCAGTACCACTTATCTGCATACATTACAGATTTACACTTGGACTAAGAGGGAGACCACCACCATTTTTTGGTCTCAAAATAATGACTTAAGCAGACATTTGCCTTTTTTTTTTTTTCTTTTTTCTTTTTTCTTTTTTTCTTTTCATCTTATTTTCAAAACCTAAAGCACTGAATACAAGGCTATCCCTTTAAGTGATATGGACACTCAGTGAATAAGTCAGATTAGTATTTTTCTAATCCAGAGCTGCAGCAGAAGGGGGACCTTGGCCTTCCTTGGGCAACTCCAAATACAGTATTTGAAGAAAGGCTGCCATAAGCCTAGATAGATACAGAAAAAGTTCTGCATGCATACACAGTATCTCTTCTATTTTTCTGTTAGGCTTTTGACAGATTTTAATGAGCAAAGTCAGTGGAAAGGAGGGTATGTCTGTGTGTGCAGTCTTTCCTAAATGCATCTGAATGAGCTAAAGAAACTTCCATACAATGCAAACCTGAACTGTATATCATTAGGGCATAACTATACATGTCAAAAGTTATAATGGTAGGAAGAGAATAAATGTTTAGTTTCCATAAATAATTTCTTACTTCAGTCGCATGACATAAAAAATAAAAGATACTCTTCAAACTCATAGCTGTATATGCTGAATTGATTCTAACTCAGGCTCTGCAGGTGATGACGATATTTCTGCAGTCAGAATTTGACCTGAACAGCCCCTCTTGTTCCCATGAGTGGGAAAGAGTACAAGGCATTTCCACAAGTGACTTTGAGTATGAACACTGCAACTTCAACGGACTATATCTGGACATTCTGCTAACTGTGCAATTTCTTGCATTTCATTTGGGCCATGACTAGTCAGACTGAAGGGCACAATAATATCAAGATTCTGTTTTAATCCAAATAACAAGGAAATTCCACATTAAAGCTCTTTTAGCTCAGTTGGCTTCTGTCTGCTAACTCTGGCATAAAATTGGAGTAATGTGCTAATAAATCAGGTCTTTCCATTTGTCACGTTTTCCTGCATTCAACAAAAATATTAAGCAGCAAGTGTTCTTTTGTTTGGTCTTTCTGACATCTCTGAGCTTCTGGGAAATAACTAGATTTGGTGACTTCTTCATTACACATGAAACTGACTGGCAAGAGCTATATTCATATAAATTGTTTTATAAAAAAGAAGAGCAAAAAACTTCAATGTGCTGAGTAGAGGGGAAGAATCACTTCTCTCCATCTGATGGCAATACTTTGCCAGATTTGTTTATATCATTTATACAGTACTTTGAGAATTTACTTTTTTTTTTTTTTTTTTTTTTTTTTTGTGTGTGTGTGTGTGTGTCTGAAACTCTTCATTTCAAAATACTACCTTTAACTGAATAATGGAAAATAACTTTCTGAAATTTATAATAGTGGACAACAAACACAGATCAGTCTCACGAAAGCCTATAACTGTTTTTACCTATCTCTGTTGTACATTAGCTCTCCCTTCAAATTTCTTAATCAATCCTAGACTTCTATTTCCTAAGATATATACTCCCATGAGAATAGAAATTAATTATGGTAAGATGTTATGTGTTGTGATGCATAAATGCAAGCATTTGACAATTTTGACTGTATGAACCCAGGAAGCTATTAAATGCAATTTGCAGAACAATAAGTGTAAGTTGTTTCAATTTCTTTTTAAACACTGAAGAAGCATACTGATATAAAGTCATTTATCATACTGGCACTGCAGACTATTCCTATGCCTAACAATATTTTACAGTATTTACTATCAACATAGATTTTTTTTACATGATTACTGTGTTATAAATCACCACCTCCTGTCTTAGGTATTTTACGTTTACAGCCAGTGTTTTGTCTTTTTCTGAGTATTTTAAGTGTTGTTACAGTTTCTTGTAATTAACGTTGTCACCACACCTATGGATGTACAAAGAACTGTAAACGTATGGATACAATCCACAGTACCAGCAGCACTGTCATCTAGTGGAGAAACCTAACATAGCACAGTACCAAAAAATGTGCTTCTAAACAATATGCTGGTGATTATATTATAAACTTGAAACAGAAAAATCTTAGTATAAAAGTCATGATCAATACATATTCCACATAAATGTATTCATCTATTTTATCACAATAATGTCAGGCTGGTGTTGATAGCACTTTTGTCCAAGACCTCAGACTCTGCATTTTAGTATTAATAATCTATGCTGCTGGCAAAAGTATTGTCTAAAGTCAAGAAATGAGGAAACTGAGGTCTGTATGCATTTCATATAAGGTCAGATGAAAAGACAACAGGGAAAGATAACCCATAAGGACTCCGGCCCCCTAAATCACGGCCTCTGTCCTACTTATTCCACTCACATAATGTCCCTTCATAGTGCTGTTCCATAGGCAGCTCTGGGTGAACTTACGGATAGATGAGCATGTAGAAAAACCTGAATCCCTACAGCCTACAGACTGATTTTAGCCTGCCCGACAGCTGGCCAAGAGGGTCAGGCTCCCTTGGCTGGCAGAACTATTTGTGAACCCTGCAGTTTATGACTGGAGAAACCTTTCCCTGGAGGGAATTAAGACTTTTGGACACTGTCAACATCACCATGATTTCTGTTGCAGAACTTCTCACCTAAATGGCTGGTAAAGGCTTGAAGACTATAACTCAAGGGAGAGAAATAGCAATGCATATATTGTCTTGGACTGGTCATATAATTTTTAATGCAATGCTGTCTTGTCCATCATTGCAACTTTGGAGATATAGCATAAGGACAAAAAAGCTTGTTCTGGGAAGGAAAGGCTCAATCCCATTTGCTGTTCTGCCACACTGCTTAGCTCCACTCATGGACACCGATGTTTTAAGGTTTAAAGCACCCATGGACAAGTAGGACATTAATGCCCCTTCCTTTAATGCCATGGTCAAAGCATAAATGAATTAGGACTTTTACCTTCTCTTCGTGCACTGGCTAGCACCCTTGCTGCAGATTTACTCATTACATGGACAACAAAAAGGGGACAGTTTACAGCATTTGCTATGGTAATTGCTCTCTGTGTTGCTTCAGCTTCGACTTCCTCTGGACGTGAGAGAATATGCCCTTCAGGACCAGTTATTCCCATTGACAGCAACTTCTTAGAATTCTGGACATAAAAAACATTTAAGAGTCAGTTAAAGTGCAACCATGGTGTCATGAACATGTAGCCAGCCAAATGGATCCTAGACCAGACACTATAGTTAGTTTGAGAAAGAACAAGTCAGTTAGAATATTTTCAATTTCAGAGGAGTTATTGTTGTGTTACCTGAAATACACTATATCTTTCAATAAACACAGATTTCAGAATAACTAAGACTTGAGAGAACATGGTCCACTGGCTTTCAGTGGTAAATCACTGCTTTTGAAAATCCTAATTCTGTATCAATTTGTGTATCAGAAATGATCATAGCCAGTAACTGAGATGACAATACTAACCCCTCTTTAGAAAAAAATTGAAAGATCCTTACTAAGTACAAAGCTACACATCAAGAGCCTCTTGAATGAGGCTCTGAGGTTTAAAGAGACATAAGATTTTGTTCCTATATTATTACAGGAGTTTATGCTTGGCTGATTTGGGATTACTTAGCAATAAATTCATTTCTGTTATGGGACATGGTCAAAGTCAAAGCACTTTTAACTAGAATAGTTGAAGAAACTCAAAGATATCAGACTGTACATGTACTCCAAGTGCCTCTACTTATCAGTGAGATATTAGCATCAAGTACAAAGTGAGGCTGTCCGTGCACAAAGGAACCTTGAACTTTTGTGCCCAGAGAAGCTTCCTCTGTACTTCTGGATTTGGTCCTGTTAGATGACATGACTATGTTTGGAGAGACCAGGTATAAGACCAGGTATCATACACCTGACATGTAAATGCTTGTCCAAGTGTTCCCCCTTCAACCTGGCCCATGGTCAGTCTCTGATGCTTTCTTCATCAGCCAAATATATATCATAGAATCATAGAATCATAGAATATCCTGAGTTGGAAGGGACCCTTAAGGATCATCAAGTCCAACTCTTGACACCGCACAGGTCTACCCAAATATATATTATATTGCAAGTGTGTATGTTATTCTGCAAGCATAACTCTCATTAGAACAGGTCCATTTGTTTCCTGTCTGTCCTGAACCCAGTACTCCAGCTTAAAATTTCTTGGCCCACCACAAGCATCATTTGGGATTTTGGCCGAGATGTTTGTCTTTAGTTCCCTGGAAGTTAAATAGGGGAAAAAGTCTTTCCCTATGTTACAATGATCTATTGAAGTGCTTAGATAACTAGTTATATTCCTGAATTTGATGGATAAAATGATAAATACTTACCTGTGCAATCAGGTCACCATTCTCTGCATGGACTTGAGCAACTGCTCCAAGTTCCCTACAGTAGGAAAAGGCTTCATATAATTCCTCATCATTGAGCATGTACACATCTTTATAGGCCATAAACATCTTGAAGGAGTTGACACCCTTGTTCTCAACAAGACTTTTCATTTCTTCCTTCACCTGAAAGACAGTCAGCAATTCTCACAAAACAGCAATATAAAATTTTACCTGTTAACTTTCTACAAAGAAATTGAAAGTATGAACCAACAACAAGCCTTTGCAGAATCACAGAATCACAGAATTGTAGGGGTTGGAAGGGACCTCCAGAGATCATTGGGTCCAACCCCCCTGACAAATCAGGTTCCCTAGAGCAGGTTGCCCAGGTAGGCACCCAGATGGGCCTTGAATATATTGAAAGAAGGAGACTACACAATCTCCCTGGGCATCCTGTTCCAGTGCTCTGTCACCCTCACCGTGAAGAAATTCTTTCACATGTTGATGCAGAACTTCCTGTGATCCATTTTGTGGCCATTGCCCCTTGTCCTGTCCCCACAAACCACTGAAAAGAGGTTGGCCAAATCCCACAGAATCACAGAATTTCTAGGTTGGAAGAGACCTCAAGATCATCGAGTCCAACCTCTGACCTAACACTAACAGTCCCCACTAAACCATATCCCTAAGCTCTACATCTAAACGTCTTTTAAAGACCTCCAGGGATGGTGACTCCACCACTTCCCTGGGCAGCCTGTTCCAATGCCTCACAACCCTTTCAGTAAAGAAGTTCTTCCTAACATCCAACCTAAAACTCCCCTGGTGCAACTTAAGCCCATTCCCCCTCGTCCTGTCACCAGGCACGTGGGAGAACAGACCAACCCCCACCTCGCTACAGCCTCCTTTAAGGTACCTGTAAAGAGCAATAAGGTCACCCCTGAGCCTCCTCTTCTCCAGGCTGAACAAGCCCAGCTCCCTCAGCCGCTCCTCGTAGGACTTGTTCTCCAGGCCCCTCACCAGCTTCGTCGCCCTTTTCTGGACCTGCTCAAGCACCTCCATGTCCTTCTTGTAGCGAGGGGCCCAAAACTGAACACAGTACTCAAGGTGCGGCCTCACCAGAGCCGAGTACAGGGGGACGATCACCTCCCTAGCCCTGCTGGTCACACTGTTTCTTATGCAAGCATAAGATCCCATTGTCTCCTACACTTTAGGTATTTATAAACATTGATAAAATCCCCCCTCTCTGTCTTCTTTTCTCCAGTCTGAACAGACCCAGGTCTCTCAGCCTTTCCTCATAAGGAAGATGCTCCAGGCACAGTATCATATTTGTGGCCCTCTGCTGGGCTCTTTCCAGGAGATCCCTGTCTTTTTTGTACTGGGGAGCCCAGAACTGAACACAATACTCCAGGTGAGGCCTGACTGGGGCAGAGGGGGAGGATCACCTCCCTTGACCTGCTGGCCACACTCCTTTTAATGCACGCCAGGATCCCATTGGCCCTCTAGGCTACAAGGGCACACTGCTGGCTCATAGCCAACCTGTCGTCCACCAGGACCCCAGGTCCTTCTCCTCAGAGCTCCTCTCCAGCAGGTCATCCCCCAGCCTGTGCTGGTACATCTGGTTGTTCCTTCCCAGGTGCAGAACTCTACACTTGCTCTTGTTAAACCTCATTTGGTTTCTTCCTGCCCATCTCTCCAGTCGGTCCAGGTCTCACTGAATGGCAGCACAGCCTTCTGGAATGTCAGCCACTCCTCCCAGGTTTGTGTCATTGGTGTACTTGCTGGGGGTGGGCACTATTCCCTCATCAAGGTCATCGATGAAGATGTTGAACAGGACCAGACCCAGCACTGACCTCTGGGGAACACTGCTAGTCACAGGTCTCCAGCCAGACCCTGCACTGCTGATCACCACCCTCTGAGCTCGGCCAGTCAGCCAGTTCTCAACCCACCTTACTGACCACTCATCTATCCCACACTTTCTCAGCTTACTTAGCAGGATGTTGTGGGAGACAGTATCAAAAGCCTTGCTAAAGTCAAGGTAGATGATATCCACTGCTCTCCCCCCATCTACCCAGCTGGTGATGCCATCACAGAAATCAACGAGGTTGGTCAGGCATGATTTCCCCTTGGTGAATCCATGCTGACTACTCTTCATAACCTTCTTCTCTTCCAATTGCTTGGAGATGGCATCCAGAACAAGCTGTTCCATCACCTTTCCAGGGACAGAGGTGAGACTGACTGGCCCGTAGTTTCCTGTATCCTCCTTCTTGCCCTTTTTGAAGACTAAAGTGACAATGGCTATCCTCCAGTCTTCAGGCACCTCTCCTTTACTCACCCTCAAACATATATTCAGTCCTAACAGTCCAAATTGCACATTTAAAGGCTTATTTATACTATTCCTCTTGTATTAAATTGCTTCTCAAAGTATACAAACGAGCCCAACTATAGTGCAGATATTGGAGGTACAAACTGATTGGAAGGGAATGCTTTTTAAAAACTATAGTGAAGTATAATTTTATTCAATGAAAACCTCCTGATATTGAAAACACTTTGTCCAATATCAACATCTATGTATCCAACCTATAACACAAAGACAACAAAGACATGGAGATATGTAAAAATTTGATTTTCAAAATTGAAACCTAACAGTCTCCTGGCAAATCACAGTGACAGAAAGGTTCTTATCTTCTAGAGCTGTGTTCTAATGCTAAATGACACACACACAGCCCTTTGAAATATTTTGTCCCTAAACTAAACAGCTCCAAAACTCTATATGCAAGCCTGCTTTCTTTCCTATATGCACTTCTTGATAAGATTCCCTACTTCTTCTCAAGTTTGTGAAACAAAATTGTATATCCCAAGGAAGAAAGAAAGATATAGATTTTACCCAAAGGTTTCTTGTGCAGTTAGTTAGGTAGAACTATCTATTAACTAACTCAAAATGATGGTGACAGTATTTGGTGTGCATCTATGATGCTCTTACAGTTTCCATGTGATTTTTTTGAAAAAGTAAAATGTTGTATTTAATATTTTCTCTAATAATATGTTTGGATCTTCCCAAGAAAGGTGAGAGATTAATAATAAAAAAAAAAAAAAAAAAAAAAAGAAAGAAAAATGTGGGGATTCACCTGGGAGAGGGGTGGGAGCATTAGCTTTAGTGGAAATTATCAAAGAAGTAAATACTGGACATAAGACCCTACTCTGGCATAAATGTGGAAGCAAAAGGCATTTCTTTTTCATGTATTTTCTTTATCACAAATTGCTAATACTAAAGGAAGGCATTCTACAGAATGTATGATTATAACAAAGACTTCAAAGTCTGAGGATTTAGTAGCAAATGGGAAGGGTATGATATACCAAACTCCTCAACTACTTTATCCAGTTCTTTTATGGCTACAAAACATCTTAAATTTTTTATTATAAACTTTATTTTTATAAACTTTTATTTTTATAAACTTTTTATTTTTTCAGTCTTGGCTTTAAAAATCAGAAGTTAAACTTCTTAACACAAAACAGAGCATTTCGCTGATTTACACTTCCCTAGTTTGACTAGAATTTTCAGTGTAATTCCACTTTTCTCTAGTAAGGCTATTTCAAATGCTTATTCCTCAGACTTCATTGGAGAATTTATTGCATGCCTTTGCTTTAAGCTAGAACTTGGAGTCAGTCTGTTTAGTGTTTAGCGCACAGAATACCAAAGATGGAGTGTTTGCAGAGTGAAGGCTTTGGTTTACGTATTTTAAAAATAAAAAATTAGAGGAAGTAGTCATACTTCATACTTAAAAATGGAATTTACTAAGTATATTTCTGACCGATGCAAGTTCTCTAAGTGGTCTTGTATAACATCAGTCAAGTACATGAAAAGTTCATTTCCTCAGTAGAGCTTTCAGGCAATCAGCAAACATTCACACAATGAGGATGATTCTCCCATACTGAAGTTCCAAAAAGATTTTCTGGATAATCTCACATTTAAGAAATTCTTGCCTCTGATTCTGTTTTACTTTAAGGAGTATTACTGCATACACTCAGGAATAAAATTCTTCCTTTGCAAATAAAATTAATTGCCACATTTTTCATATATACCCTTATTAATACACCGTCCCTACCCCAAACCCGAGACTTAAGATGAATGTAGCTTATTGAGTATTCAGGTAAAATAAAAACAAAAGCCCTCTTGTCCTTTTTGGTCTGGCTGGTCTTAACTTTGCACAACCTGCTTCCTTTTCCTTTAACCTCATGTAATATTATCCACAGATGTAGGTTATCTGCAGACTTTTCTTTTCAAATACACATACTTTTTATAAAGTGTGGACAATTCCAAATGTAGTTTGCACATACAAAAACAGGTTAACTATAACACTGTAAGCAACTAAGTTTACCACCTGAGGACTTATTCAAGGCAGATGTGGTACGAATTCAGGGAATAGATAACCAGTGTTTGTATCTACCTTGTTGCTCCACCATGTAACTGCCACATGCAATGAATAATCACAGCAGACTTTCGGGTCTGCCCAGCTTTTCCACAAATCAAAAGCTTCAATAAGAGAGGAGCCTTTTTGAGGAATGGCAAAGTCGATGATCATAGTGGTGCCTCCCGCTACAGCAGCCTGAAAGGAAAATAGTTAATATTTAGCAATCAGTGAAAAAAATGCATAGTTCCTCCTACCCTCTCTGATTCCCTGTCTAACAGTTACATATTGATACACTGAAAAGCCAGAAGTCAATGCAGTTTTCTTGAGTGAAGTCTGAACTTGCAAAATGATTGTTGACATTAATTTTGGTTCCTTTGAGAAGGATGTTCATTTGAGAAGGAAGTTTTTGCACTTATAATCCTATCAAAGATTTAGAAATGAATAAGCAGCGTGCATCAGTGAGTATTCTTAAGAGGATGGGATCACAGAGAAAGAACACCAAAAGACCACAAACAACTTGAGATATGCTTACTCAGAGTCTACTTAGTTGAAAAAACAAGCCCGTGTAACAAAACAGCATTAAGGAACAGGTACACAATGGAAAAAGTAGTTTATAAATCCAATATGAGAATCCCCAAATTCCTGAACTCCTAACTACTAAACTCCTAACACCAGAAGGATTTAAAAAGTGTTTTGAAATTATTTTTTTTACTGCAGGGTACTATTTTGGAAAACTGCACAGCAGATTTCCAAAAAGGCCAAGATATTTACAGTTTCCATATAGATATATGTAAGTATATAAAATCTTATTTTATATTAGTTATGAGGATTAAAATTGCTTTTTAATGAAGAACTTTCATTCTTCTTTACAGACAACTGAATTCTACGTTTTCTTCCTTTGAAGGCACTCTGGTAGTCACTGTCACAAACCACATCTTGGGCTAGGGGAAATGGATACAATAAGGCAATTTCTTTGTTGTAATTGTTGCTCTCTTTCAAATTAGTCAGAGAAATTGTCTTATTGCTCTGAACAACATCCCTTTGCAAAACAGGTATTCAGATCAAAACACACACAGTTTAAATTCATGCTACTTTATTCTATTTCTAAATCAATCCTCCTTTCTCTAAAAGACATTTGTTTGGCTCTGTCTCATTAAAGCTCATAAATCCTTCCTTATAAAGTTCTAATATTTCTTTTAATTAAGAAAAAATATTTGGCTTGCCCCCATGCAAGTGATTTATTTATTTATTTATTTATTTATTGTAACAAATTGTTTTGTATATTTCAAATAATTGTCTTAGCAGTCAGGAGTGAAATTGTAAATATGTCAGTATATTTAGAAAAAAAAATGGAGAATGACAAATATTTGTGATTCTGTGATGAATTCAACAATACATTGCCTCCAAGAAAAGTTGTTCAAACTTCAATTTTTTTTTTCCAATAAAACATCTTGGTTTCTTAATTTTTAAGTAGGATTTAAACTTCAAGAGTATTTGTAAGCTTACAGGAAAAAAAAAAGTCACAGGTTCCACAACTCCTACCAAAGTATCATTTTTCCTATAACATTTATAAATAGAAGTATTCCATGCCTTTATTTATTCAACTGAATGGACAAATCTTAGCTTATCACTGTGTTCATTTCTGTGATAGCTGGAACACAACTTTGTCTCTATGATTTTCCTGCCAAGATATTTTTTAGATAACAACCTTGGGTAAACAACTCTGAACACTTTCCACACTTTGACCTGGGTCAAAAATCTAATCCAATATCTAACTTTGTGACATCTGATCACTAGATTAGATCTAGAATCTTCCATTAGTCACCCAAGTGACTAAGGACATACTGTTTTGTGTATGCAGGCTGTGTTTTAGAGCTTCTGTGCCAAATGCCTTCAGTGGAAATAATTATTCAGAAAAAAACTACATGCTAATTCAAATTATTACCTTCTTTTTGCAAGTTAGCAAGGAATTCATCTCCCCTAATTTGGGATTTCATAGCATGGGCACCTAAATTTGAGTTAGTCCAAATCTTTGATTTTCTTAATGTCAATGGAGGCACATTAAAGAATGGTCTTCAAAGAGAAATAAAGGATTGTTGCACAATAAATAAATAAATAAATAAACAAACAAATAAATAAATAAATAAAATTATATGTTTCTGAACGCTAAGTCATGTAAATTAAGTATTCCAGAAATCAGAATTCAGCCAGGAAACCTAAGTTGTGATGTCTGTAGACAAGCAGAACAGACATTGTGGACTTGGGGTTTCTTTCTATCCATTTATCACAAAAAGCAGTGTGAAGACCAAAATCTGATTGTGGAAGCCATTTCCATAACTAAAATGTGTTGTGAGGCCCATATAATAGATTCCTTTGTTTCTACCAGATAGCTAAGGAAGATACTGAGCGCGGGGAACAAAACTGCAATGATCAATTTTAAAATCCTTTTCCAGCTGTCAGTTCTGGAGGTGGAGATTCAGTGGTGTATTTTCTACCTCATTTTATGTTTGACTTGTAGAGACATGGTATGTTTGGCAGAGAAGCCATTTACCTATGGTAGAAAAGATCTGCTGTGATGGACAAAATATTTTTTGTCAAAGTTTTGCTGAATAATTACACCCTATTTTAATGAGTTACCATAACTTCCCTGTGCATTCAGAATAACAATTCTAGTCCTTAAAGCTATGCAGTGCAAAATATTTCTATTCCAAATAACAGCAGCAACATCAGCAGATCTATCTTGAATTGGAGTAAATACTGTTATTGAAAGAAGCATGACAGCAATTTAAGGATAATATACAGGTCATTTGTATTTCTCCCTCCAGTACTCTGGGTGACACATCAAGAAAAAAATAAAAATCCTTGTTAGAGCATGAAAATATACAATTAATCCACTTAGACAGTCCAGCTCAAACCCTTATAACATGACAGGGCAGGAAAGAAATGAAATCTCCTGTGGAAGAATAGGGTCAATCTAAGCAGGACTGCAAAAGGCTTGGAAGGCTTTAGTGGTTTCCACATCACATCATTCATTAAAGTGAGTTGAATTTAACTTATTTCAACTATTTTAAAGAGGCAAGTAAGTATTTTGCGCAACAGAAAAAGATCAGTGAAAACTATTTAGTTAGAAGGGACACATTTTTTTCTCATTCTTAGCAAACCTCAGTTCTGCCATGAGAGGGGCAGGTTATAACAGGCTCTCTGAGGATGCTGGCTAACAGACAAGCCATTTGACATGGCAATGTGGTCCCTTCTGTGGGCAAAGGATTTCAGCCTGTACAGCAAAGCACTTAAAAATAGCTTACAAATTTCAGGGAGCTCTTTATGAGTATCTTTACTGTATAGAGATGATGCTTTTTTGATACTATTAACTAATATACTGCAGGTGATATAATGATATCAGCTAAAAATTTGAGAAAAGAACTCTAAGCACTTAAGTGGGAGAAATTAAATACTTTTAGAAAGCATATTTGAACTGGATGTTCACTGAGACAGTAAGTAGAGAAGTGAATGAGAGATGAAAAACTTGCATTCCCCCAAGCTAACAGAGGAGAAAGATCAGATTACCACAGAAGTGTTCCCAGCACACCGGGGGAGTTAAACTGTTGCTTTAGGTTAACCTTTGATCAGAAAAGTATGAAGCTCCTATGAAGGCATGTTGTATTTGGCATGGTGACAGCCAAGGTAAATGAGTGTTCTTTACACTTGCTACCTGCAGATAGCAAGGTCTCTGAAGGAACCCAAATAACATGCTGGTGGAAGGTAGACCTCTGGGTACCCTGACAACAGCCCAGGACAGCAAAAATTGCCTGTGCTTGATGGATACTCTTTCCTCTCTGTTAGCATTAATATACATAATCAGCAGATACATATAGATCTCCAAGAAAGCCCAGATGCACACATAGACATGCATATGTGCACTAACATAGTTACACACACCCACCTTTGTGCCTGTATGGAAGTCATCTTTTGACTTGCTACCCATAAAAGGGAACTGCATGTGTGTATGAGTATCGATGCCTCCGGGGATCACCAGCTTGTCAGTTGCATCCAGCACGGTGAGTCCAGTGGGGGGCTCGGGGTTTAGGTTTGGTCCCACTTGCTGCACAATTCCGTCCTCCACGTACACATCAGCCACCACAGACTGGTCATCATTCACAACTTTTCCCCCTTTGATGAGAAGTCTCTGCTTTGACATAGGAGCCTAGAAGATGGTGATAAGACTCAGCTCAGAAAATTGCTCTTGCCAGAGAGCACTTCACTGCCCACCCTTCTCACAGAGCCGTGTGCTATCTGAAAATGGCCCTAAGCACACAACACACAGGGTTATTTAAACAGAAATCAGAGGAATTGCTCCCTTGGCCTTTGGCAGCTCCACCTACCTACTGCCTTTGGGGAGGCACCAGTGACCAGTGGCGTGCAGTGAGCTGAAGCAGACAGCCTGCCTCTGGCCATTTCTGCTGTAGTTCTCTTTACAGGAAGGGGGAGGCAGGCTTTCGGGAGAGTCCAGCTGGTTTCTCATGGCACTGGCTTGCAGCCCTGCCCTGTGCACATTTGAAACATGATGGGCCATTTGGGAAATCGGGCAGTTCACGGATTTGTGATGCCCAAAGGTGACCGTAGCTCTATGTGGTGGTGTTTGAGCACCCAAGGGTGACATGAGCTCTCTGGCTGGGGAGCCCAAGGGTGACTTGAGCTCTCCATGGAGGTGGCTGAGGAGCCTGTGGGACCGAGCACAGGGGCCTTGAGAGCCCAGGGCAGCAGGGACCAAGCTTTACTTGAGTCTCCACAGCCCAATGTACTGGGGGCAACCTGAGTCCCCTCCAGAGGGCATAAGCCATCAGCAGCCGCTGCCAAATCATGTTTTAGAAGATACTCTAGGGGATGGGCCCACAACCCTGGGGACCCAAGCACAGCTCCCCCCCAAATGCCGGTACGCAAACACAACGGTCATTGGCAGGGGAAGAGGGCAGCCCTTGGGGGGGGGGGGTTTCTGGGCACCAAGGCCTCTCCTCACCTCAATCGCTGGGGGCGCTTGGCTGCCGTCAAAGGACCACATGAAAACCATCTTCCGGTAGCTGTTGCCTTGCGCCATTATGCCTGCTTCCCCTGTTGTCCCTGCTTCCCCTGTTGTCCCTGCTGTCCCCACCAGCTGCGTTCAGAGTGGCCGCTCCGTGCTCTCCCCCCACCCACCCTGCATTGTTGCCCGTACAACTGCCAGCGGGCCCCGCCTGGCCATGGCCCATGGCCCCATCCTCTGGGTCCCGTAACTGGACCTTGGCCAGCACACAGGGCTGGTGGTGGCCCCTTGGGCTGGGAGGGCCACAGGAGGGAAAGAGAGACTTTGGCGAGTTTTTTTGGGAAAAGGGCTGTCATGAGCCCAGCTGGAAGGGCAGCTTATGCCTTGGCCCAGAGGGAGAGGCGAGAAAGTGAAAGTAAGGTGGGGCAAAATGATCTTAAAACTTGGACAAAGAGAAAAGGAAAGAACCACAATGTAACTATTTACAAATGCTGTTACTGCCTTACAATTGTTTTGCATCTCATGTCTGTTTTGTTTTTAATTTCCTGTTCCCCATGGACATAACAGTGCCTCCTGGATGCAGTATCCTCCCTGCACCTTAGCTTTCTCTGCCCTTCATTTTCAGCTTGCATCCTTCCTTCTGTCCTCAGCACAAGATAAATTCAAATGTACACCACGGGAGAGGCACAGTCCTGAGGACACCTTGGAAGAGGACAAGAGATTATCTCTAGCATGGCCTGTCCTGCACTGCCCCAGGGACACCTGCTGTATGGGCCTTCCCACTTCTCCAGTAACACAGGGTGGCTTACTTAGCAGCAACGCTGCTTCACTGTGTCCCTGAGCCGGCTGAGCACGAGCATCTTCATTCCCTTGACCTCCTTCAGGCCAACGATGATGCCTTCAAAAGACAGAATATTGTCTATGAGGGCCATGCACACATATGCCACCAAAAAGATTAGACAAATGAAATGCGATTTGGCACGCTACAAAGTGCTCACCTTCCCATTGGCATGACACCTTCCTTCTCCCAAGTGGGTAGGAGAGCAGTACCAGAAGTTTGCTTTTGTACCTGCTTGTCCCAAAACGTCTCCTCTTGTGCCTCACCTTTGTGCTTTCAGGACAGACACCATAGGGGTTCACTGCATCACACAGCAATAGTAAAGGCTAAAAATCATTTAGAAAAGCAGAGCAGAGAATAAGAACAATAGAAAGGGAAATTCCCCAACACTCCTGGGGCTACCTGTAGAGCACCAAATGGGCAGGAAAGGGTAACCTGCATCGACCATGTCATCTGTATTTAAAGTTGGTAAAATGACAGTGATGAGAATTCAGACAGCAACACTGGCTCAATAATTATAATGTTATCAATGAGCCAGAAACCTTTGAGTTATTGCTATATGATTAGTCAGGTGAAGAACAAGGGAAGAAAGGCCCAGGAAGAAGTCAAGTTATGGTCCTCTAAGGCAGGAGCTGTGACTACTAGAGAGTAAGGAAAGAAAATATGTCCAGGTGGGCACTGAAGTGAGATAATGGGTATAATTCGAATCTCTGCTGCTGCTGAGACAGCAAATCCATTTCTCCCACTGTGCAGATGGGCACCTGAATAATTGGGTTGCAGGGGATCTGATGGATGCCTCTCAGACACAAAAGTTTCACTTTACGTAAATGTGGTGACATTTGTTAACCAAGGACAGAGGGTTGCAAAGACAGGGGTTCATTCCTTGGGTGCCCATGGGGTACAGCAGTCAAGCTCTCATGCCTGCCCCACTGAATAGTTAATGATTTTGAATGGAACAGTGTCAACAAGTTAAGCATTTATTGGCATAAACTTCATGCAGAATGTCTCCACTCAATGCCCAAACAACCAATTGAAAATGGTCAATTTTCCTAGTATTTCTCCCTGGCCAATGAATATTTAGCTATTTCTACAAAACGAATTTCTAGATGATAGAACTGGTTCATCACCTCCAAGTCTGCTTCTGGGGTAGTGGTACTGGTGAGCTGTTCCTGCTTGAATTCTTCCAGACAGAGCAGAGGGAAATTTGAAGACAGGCCCACCACATCACAGCATGCTGTGGTAAGCTTTCAGGATATTTGTCTCCCTTTTTTGTGTGTGTTGTGCAGGGAAGAGCTGAGGACACCTAGAAGCATGGCTCAAAATCTTACTCAACTCTAGAGCTCCAACTCTTGAGCTCCACTTCCTCTCCTGAGATCTACCCCTGGCTAATTTAGGCTTTGTGGATCCTGCTCTTAAGCATATAAACCTTCCTACCTGTAACTCCAAGTCTAGCTCAAAGCTGCTGATCACACAAACTGGCAAGGAAATTAAGAGTCAAGACATTATACTGTTGTGCATAAGAAAACTGAATCTATCCCATAGGTGGTTTTGAACACATTAAATAGATAATGACATTCTGTCTAAGCAGTCCTTTTATTTTGTCCATTTGGACAAACAAGATAATCTTGCTTCAGCTGCATTTATGTAAATTTGGTAAATATTTGATATTTCAGAGCTCATCTGTCCCTGGACAGAATGGCCTGAAATATCACTTGTGGGATAGAAATAATTCCTGTAATACTGTGAGAAGACAACTGGCTGTGTATTCTTAGTTATCATTGAGTACTTGCTGCTGCAACAGGGACTTAGGCCCCTGATTGGCATTGCAACCTTCACCCACAAAACATTTTACTCTTACTGCCCTTCACTTTGCACAGCTCAATACAAATCTCTGTTTTGTAGTCAGTGCCCAACTCTGCACTATGCAGAGGAGCTTCCTGTTAAGTAATGTTTGCTCATCCTAAAATATCACATAGTAATTCAGTCATTTGAGAGACTTTGCAAAAAGCCATCCATTGCAACCTTGAACTTACATCTTAGGCTAATGTTTTTGTGGTCTGCAGCAAAGCAAATAATCCTGTAAAACTCTACAGGGGAATGAGTGTCCTGATTAGAGTGGCTATCATAGAAGTATGATCAAAGAGACTTTTAAGTAACCTAATAATTAATTTAATTAAGATAAAGAACCCTGAAGAAAATCAGTCCTTGTCTATTATTTACTAAATAATTCAGCAAATTAAAGAATAGGTTTGCAAGAAACAGACAACTGAGATTGGGAACTTCCTTAAGACTTACAGGATGTCACCTACAAGTCATTTATAATGAAGACAATCTATTCTAAATCTTCTGAGACATACGCTTCTTCCCATGGAGACTTTTAACTTCTACCTCCCAGCATTACTTATTCATTTCTATGTTCTGGTGTAATTACCCCATCTTACTTTTATCCTCTGTTTCTGTTTTCACATCCTTCCTATGACAACCTATGTCTGAAAAGCGCTCTTACCTTCATGCACTCTTTATCTCTTTCTTAGCCCCAAAATTTTTACTGTCATTGAGCTTCAAATAAAAGATGGCAAAGCAGAGATGTATCTCAAAATCCAAGAGATACAAACAGAATTTGGGACAAACAGTGAAGATGCTTTGTTAAGGGAACTAGAGACTGATGTTGAGTAGTGGACAAGCCCAGCTAATGAAGATTATTGATCGTATTTACCGTTTTTGGCAACTTCCCTCCATTGAGAACAGACTGGATCATGAACCAGATTTTCAATGCAAGAAAATTAACAGAAAGGATACCACTTTCAGTGAACTTTACCAGCTGTTCTTACTGAATCTTCTACACCTTGAGAAACACCAAAAAATTATTTCTGCATTTATGTTGACAGACTTTTAGAAGCATGACTATTTTGTCACAAAAGTATGAATTCTGTTAATTGTTCTGCCATAACTCTGTAACGCCACAAGTGAACAATGCTGTGACATATCTGAGATTGCTGTTCTGAACTCAGACACCTGACCCTGCTGGGTAACACCTACAAACATATTTTTACTTTGTGGATCTTTTTTTCTTACTCTTTTAAACTAGCTTCATTTATCCTTTACATTTTGCATAAGAAAACATTATTTGCTAGGAGGGCCCCACTGAACCAGAACACTTATTCTGCTTTATTTTGGGCTGGTCTGTGTGTTTTCTGACATTGCTCATCTCCAATTACAACCACATTGCATAACATTACAGATTATAAATATTCCTTTAGACATTCTGGCCATTCAAAATCAAAATACAGTGACTTACCTCTTCATATTTATTTTTCGCCTCCAGCCTTCCACCCCTTTACCTCTCACAGAAGCAGTATACAGGGTGACTATAATAACCTTTCAAACAAAGCAAGCGAAGAAAAGTTCTTTCAGATTGTATGTTTTCTGTTGACTTGGACAATTTCATGCAATGTGGTCACATG